CCACATAGGAATTGGCAATTCATACAAGTAAGGTAGAGTACGCGGAGCTTAGGTAATAACACAGAACGACGGGTAACAACACCTGATAGACTCGAATAGATGCCTGAATATATCTCAATGGCACAACTACAATGATTACCAACAACATTAACTAACTTGTTGATGTGAAATGCTCGAAGATTCCTTATAAGGTCAACAACTGGGAAGCTGACTATGCGTACATTGATCTCACGATGACGATCGTTGGCGAACCTAACCTCATACTCAGAGAATGAATCATTGTCAATGATCAGCAAGCAGACTTCTCATTACAGTTCTCTATACTTCTTCTTAGTGAATTCAGTGGCCGATACCTGCAGTAGCTTGAGTATATGATGGGGACGATCACATAACCATTGTGCCATGAAGGGGGACCTATGGTCAGTTTGGTAAGAGTACCATCTGATGATGAGGCGTCGGACTACCAGTCAGCCAGATGTGGATGGAAGGACACTGTGAAGGATGTCTTGCCATCGGCGCACATATGGTGGATCTAATAAATTACCACCAAGATCGTAGAGGTCTATCAGCCTGCGAAAATCCACAGTCTCGCCTTCTCAGAATAGTAGGGTTCGTTCGCATCCTCCGTTGGGTCTATGAAGGTCTGTAAGAACTTGCTAAAATTGGCAATGATCTTCTTGCTCAAACGGGAATCCCTGGTATGAAAGCCTGAAATCCGTCAGGATTTCCCGTCATTACGGAGAGAGATCAGTATCCGGTCCAACTTCCTCATTATTAAGATCGATAAGATCAGCATCAAACTCCTCATCCATAGCAGCATCATCGTCCTGTTACCCATGCGTAAGACTAAAGTCCCCCCATGTATTCCAGCATACCTCTGCCTGTGCAGCCCTCCTTAACCTCTCCAATCGACGCCTCTTCCTCTCATAGGCCCCCATACGGTCATCATCATCCTCACTGTCAGAGCTGTCTTCACCAAACACCGCACCAGGCATCCTGCGTCCTGAACTACCAACGTGAGGACGATATAGGATAATGATCAAATCACTCTGTCCCCTATCCCTCTCTCGTAATTCCCTCTCAGCCCGCCTCCTAGCACCAGCATCATCACCATACTCCTGCTCATCCAGCATTCTGGGATCATATCGATCCAATTCAGGCATAGGACGATAATCCTCCTCCATGCTGTTAAGTAATGATAACAACATCATCCAGTAACATATGATGCAATACTATACTTGTCCATCAAATCCTCGCCCTCTCCTTCTTCTTCATCCTCCACAGCATCTTCAACACCATCACTAATCTGATGCACAACATATTCAGGATCATCCCTACCTCCCTATTCTCACTCTATCATCCTCCATGGCTTCGCTTCCAGCATCGACATCGTCGTCATCTTCGGGCTCTTCATGAGTTGGGAAGAAACGGTCACGATTGGACATGATAGGGATGCGAACCTTCGAGAGGGTAAGCCTGAGATGCTACCCCGAGTTTACGAGTTGGAATACTAGCACAAGTAACCACCCTCCCCATTGAAGTATGGTACTCAAGAGGATAGTCAGAGCA